TAAACTCAAAAGAGCAAGCAACTGCAGAAAGAGCTTTATTACAAGCCATGTCAAGAGAGACTGGGTGCTGACTGCATGTACAAGAGAAAAGTAACATTGATTTGATACTGTAGTAACATACCTCAGAGCACAGGTCAGGTAAGTAACCAGACAGAAGAGTGAGAGTAGAGTCTTCATGATTCTTTTCCTTGATAGACAGTATTCCTTGTTCTTGTGAGATGATTTCTTTTTTAGTGAGAAGTGATTGAATGCTGCTGGTCACCTCCTTATATGCTATTAGGTACCTCATCAATATTCATTAGCAATTAAGCAAAAACTGACCAATCAGAGGCTAGTTGCATGACATCAATTATTTTGACAAAAGGCCTTTGTATAGACCTATGAGTATACTTAGAATTTCAACAGTTGAAGTGTCTACCAAGTTACTATGCTAGCTTTCCAGTGAAGTTACTGTTACTCAGTACAGAGTAATTCACTTCCTTTTATGATGAGCAATAACATACTGGTATATTCAATTACCTGAACCATGTACATATATATAGTACAAATCATATATATATAAAGCAGATGAAAATCTGAATGTATTATATATAACTGATGTTTTAATATTAATGCATGTTTCATAAATTGCACACACATTTGATAGACGTACTTCATAATACCACAGTAATGGCCAACAAGTTGAAGTTCCTATGTACTTCAAAACCAGTTGATTTACTAAAAAATTATACAAAATAATAATAATTGTATTCTTACTATAATAATACATGCTTAATTTACAGCAAAATCATAATAACAATTTTTATTATGTTTAGGAATCTCTTACTATGCAGGAAGTAATAATATTTTTAAAGTGGTAGCAAGAATGAAGAGGATAAGAGCTATATCCATTTTCAATTAAAAATTATTAACCACAACTTCTTGTTGTACAGCATATACATCTAGATCTACTTTAATGAACATTTTAATCTTACCTTGGGTCCACCTGCCCGACATGGTCCTCCGTCCTCCTTGCTGATTACCTAGACAATGGGACAGTGGCCACACTGCCCCGGGGAAGTGTGGCCAATGTATGGGCCCCACTTCAGCCCCGCCCCCTGGATTAACTTGGCCTCCAATGCATTCCGGTCCACCAGGCAGAGGGGGAGCTCCACCCAGACAAGGTCGCTTGGTGGGCGGACAAATTTCCCCCTGACCTCCCGCCCCCTCATCACAGTTGCTTGAGTTGTATCCCGAGGGGGGTTCCCAAATCCTTCAAGGTGGTTCCACCCACGCTTCTGGGTGGGGCCGACCATCGGAGGGGATGACCCACAGATTATCACCTAGGGGGCAGAATTTCCGTGGTGCCCATACTATCACACTGGGAAGGGACCCAGTGGAAAACCTAAACCTACTAGATGTTGGGTGGGTGGTGGATGAGCAAATGGAGCCTCTTTTTCCATGCATGTAGTCCTGAGACTGAGAGAATGCTGGATGATGCTGATCTCCCACGCATGCGCACAACTGTGTGGGTGCACAAATGGGTGGCTATTGCATTCCGCCCCCGCCATGCAGTGGGTGTGTGGGCGGTCAGCCTGAGCGAGATTGGCCCCTGCTAATTAACTCCATTTCAGCCATTGCCCTAAATGACAAGAAAAAATTATTTCAAAATTAGTACTGTAATAAGAGTTCTAATAACTAGGACATAATTTTGAGTGTAACAATACAGTTTGTGATTTCAAGCATTCCTTTAAGTTTCCAGCAGGCAGAACATAATCCTTGGGATCTCTATGAGGTCCAAGTTCATATAAATTGCTGCAACTTTGCAATAAACGAGACAGCTTCCACATACAAAGATGACGACTTTTTCCTTGCCTTGCAAATACGTGAAACTGATCCTCTCTTTGTAATATGTCTTGCTTCACTCTTTCATCTCTTAGAAATTTTCTAACGCTCTCGTCCACCATATCAAGATAGTAATGATCAGGTGGTAAAGGGAAGGAAGAGGTCAGATTAAAAGATTTGTAAATTTCCCGCGAAACTGTAAAATTTGCTCCAATTATGACACACCAGTGAGCAGCATGTCCGTAACACTGGAATGGAGTGTGGTCCTTGTCACAATCATAAGGTATCAATAAAGCTTGTCTTGCTAGTAGCCAACGAATTATATCAACAGACCTTATCTCTTCAACATTAACAATAGAACCAGTACAATTCAAAACGCCTTTAGCTAATTGCAGTAAATGATCCGATGACAATATCTCTCCTTGTCTGCTAAAACCTGCTTCTCGTGACATCTCCAGTACTTCCATAGGGTCCTTGCATATTGTATCATTGTGAATTATTTGATCAGCCATACACAAGGCAACCAGCCCACACATAGGCCTGTTTCTCTGCAGGGCTGGCCTGAGGCTTTGATGCAGAATTGATACTGTAATGATCTCTGAGGAATTAGTGTCCAGTGAAACTGCATGATCTCTCTCTATTATATTGTAGAGCTCAGATTGGATATTAGGAGGGTCTATAATGATTGGATCATCTTCCTGGGGTGAAAGAGAAGGGAGAGAGGGGGGACATGGGGGAGGAGGAGGGGGAACAGGAGCTGCCATTTTTCAACTTTGCACCTATATTACCTCAGACTTCTGACCTCAAGTTATGAGTCATGAATTTCATTTGGGCTATTTTAATGAAGTGTAATAAAAAGAAGCATGCTGACTCCATCATTCGAAGCAAGACAAGATAAGGAGAGCATTATACTCACTATTAGAGTACCCTATGTGAAGGTAAGGATTGTGATTTTAGTCAGCGCCGAAATTCTTATGAAGTGGCGCCGCGTAATAATAAAGTAGTAAAAATAGCAATTCGATATCCTCTTATCTTTGATTTGCTATTATTATGGTTTAGATATCTGAAGCTGAAATAGACATTGATGGGACAAACTTCAAGTTCTATTGCCGTCCCTATTATTTGTGGTAAGTATTAATTTTATCACCAACCGCCCATTAATACTTGTAACATCCATGGGTACATGCTTGTTATCATAATTATATATTTTGTGTTTAGCTGCAGCTTTATTATACATGATGTAATAGTTACTAAGTTCAATAATAGTTATTACACATGTACCAAACTAAAAATTTCTGTTACCGAAAAAATTTTTGTGAATAGTCAGTAAAATTATTTTTGTGGATTTGAATACAATACACCTTGGTATGCCAAAGTGTCGTTAATTTTAAGGCTACAAAAAATTGTAGCCTAAAAAGATCCCTGTGCTACAATAAAAAAATCTTAGTCTGTTCATATAATTAGAAGTTCTATATGTTCCTTTTTATAATTAATTCTAACTGACTAAGTGTTAATTGTTGACACTTTAACTGCTTATTGTATCATTACATTATGTAGGTTAGAGTTTTCAGGAGAATTGGTAGAAGATGGTAAAGAGAAAGCACAGTATGAAGTTAGCACAGGTATAAGTGTGTAGCAATAAAGCCTGGTTTACACTTGCAACGCAAATAAACACAAAATTGAAATTTTACCAATTTTGCGTCAACTTCAAAACGTTTTGCATCAAAAGGTCAAATCACCCACACACTTTTGACCGTTTTGTCGAATGTAAATCTAGCTTTAGAGATGGGCATTAATTATGTGACAATAAATTTTGAAAAGTAGGATTTTGGAAAAATTGACGTTTTGATAGCCATTTTTAATTTTTCATTCTTAATAGGTAATATTATAGTTACTGTCTCAAAAAAGGTGAAAGGTGAAGAGTTTAAAAACTTGGACATGTTGACCACGCTACTTGGAGGAAAGAAAGAAGTTGATTTGCGATCAGTTGCGGCTAAACCTTTGATTGAAGTGATCAGTGACAATGAATCAAGTATGATATGCACATGTACAGTACGTAACCATAGAAATAATATAAATTAGAATTGATTGGTGGAATATAGATTTAGAGTTTTAATATTGCTGAAGTCCATTTGCATTCAATAGAGCCTTAAAACTTGACTACACATACTGTAATACAATACATTCTTCTTCTTTTGCTGCCCATTCAGAAAGTACAGCCATACACTACTCCGCTCCACTGAATCTGAATAGTTTTTGCTATCACTGGTTTTAGGTGTTTACACTAATCCACCAGCTGCGTTTTCATTTTGAACTTATCATTCGTTTACAGAAGTATCTGCTTAGGTATTCTTTTTCAAATGTCTCCTGGTAAGTATGCGTTTTCATGTGTTTTAGTGTAAACGAAAGCTGTATCCATGGCAAAAAGTCTGTTTTCCAATGAAACCGGAGTAGTGTAAACGCAGCCTTAATATTGCTGAAGTACATTTGCATTCAATAGAGCCCTAAAACTTGACTACACATACTGTAATACAAATACATTCTTCTTCTTTTGCTGCATGTATGGTCCATTCAGAAAGTACAGCCATACTTTTCACAGTACTATTGCATTGTGTTAATTAATTGGTGGGTGAGGTCTGTAATCACTTCCTGAGCTCAGGTGAATAGACTAATTTTAGATGATTCATTGAATGAAACGAAATGGCGATTTTTATATTGGTGTGTTTTAGGTAGCCACAAATATTTCCTGGCAAATGTTTTTAGGTTCAGAATCAATTTTACTGATTGCTTTTATGTACCTCAAAAGTATAATAATTAAAATAATAAAAACAATATAATAGATAAAATGTATAACTTATGCTAGCACAGATATATTTACTTGACTACATGCTTAAGTTTATAATTTGTTTAGTTTCTGCTGACTCCGCATTTTACTCTCAAGTTTCTGCTGACTCTGCATATTACTCTCAAGATAGTATAGGGTCTGAGTGTGGAGCTGATGATGATTTATTTACCGTCAGTAAAGAGAAATGCACGCTGAAGTCAGCTGAGGATGACAGCGATGGCAAAGATAAGAATGTATTTCATTATGATGTACCGTATTGCAGAAAAGTTTCGTGGTCCAAAATTTTCATGGATTTCGTGTTTTTTTTTTAACCCACGAAAATGAAATCCGCAAAAATTGATTCTATACGGTTCAAGATAGCTGAAATGTAGAAAACCACGAAAAGTAAAGCCACGAAATTGATTTTTGGATGGATCCACAAAAATTTTGGGCCACGAAAATTTTCCGCTATATGGTAGTGTGTGTGTGTGAGTTAAAGAGACTAAAGATATATTGTACAAGATGATTTATTGGTGAGAGTAATATTTGGCAAATTTGCCTGTGGAAAGTTAATGGCAAATTTTATATTGGCAATTTTGTGCCATGTGCCATTGAGCATGCTCAGTTTGAAACAAAATGGTGGATTTTATATTGGTAATTTCTTCATAGAACCGCCAATCGCCAATATTAATTCCTTGCCAATAACTCATTTTGTATGGTAGAAAGTGTTCAATAGCTTTAAAATTGTTGATATTATTCTAAATGTTCATTTCATGATGTTTGATTCTTTTTAATCAAATGTACATGTATTGTATAGTAATGTACTATAATAGCCCATGGTTTTTTCAAAAAAATGGCTCCGAAATCACCCCAAATTTTTATTACATTTTCTGATACATATTGATGTACTTATGCTGTGTAGAAAGTTTGAGCTAATTCCGACTTCAATTTTTTGAGTTATGGCCATTTTAAGAAACTGCCAAAATTCTGAAAAATACCCAAGGCTATAGCCCATGGTTAAAAAAAATGGCTCCGAAATCATCCCAAATTTTTATTACATTTTCTGATACATATTGATGTACTTATGCTGTGTAGAAAGTTTGAGCTAATTCCGACTTCAATTTTTTGAGTTATGGCCATTTTAAGAAACTGCCAAAATTCTGAAAAATACCCAAGGCTATATAGCCCATGGTTAAAAAAAATGGCTCCGAAATCGCCCCAAATTTTTATTACATTTTCTGATACATATTGATGTTCTAATGCTGAGTAGAAAGTTTGAGCTAATTCCGACTTCAATTTTTCAAGTTACGGCCATTTTAAGAAAACGCCAAAATTCTGAAAAATACCCAAGGCTATAGCCCATGGTTTTTTCAAAAAATGGCTCCGAAATCATTCCAAATTTTTATTACATTTTCTGATGCATATTGATGTCCTTATGCTGTGTAGAAAGTTTGAGCTAATTCCGACTTCAATTTTATAAGTTACGTCCATTTTAAGAAAATGCCAAAATTCTTAAAAATACCCAAGGCTATAGCTCATGGTTTTTTCAAAAAATGGCTCTGAAATCATCCCAAATTTTTATTACATTTTTTGATACATATTGATGTCCTTATGCTGTGTAGAAAGTTTGAGTTTATTTTTGGTTCACTATAATATTTATCATTTGTATGATACTATATATGCAGGATGAAGATGTCACTGCTCTATTAGCTGGTCAATACAGGTATGGTTTTGCTGATCAGCACACTGGAGTACTGGCTAAACTTCAAGTAAAGATTGCATCTATATGTATGTGTACCTTATTGTGATAGCCTTCACATCTTTGTTATTTGCTGTAAAATAGACTCTTTTCACAAGGTTACACAGTACAAATTGAAACTTAGATTTATGATTTTTTTAATAGCAATCCTTCCCCAAAATAAAACCAAACCATTATGCACATATGACCACAAATTTGCCAAACTAAAACATACCATTCATCAACTTAGCATTTTGCTAAAATTTTATCTCTACAAATTACATGTATAGTCGGTTCAAGTTGAGTTGTCACAGGAAGTAAATCAATTTTTGCATCACAAAACGTCACTACTAGCCACACCCAAAAATGGTGGTACAGTGCAAGCAAGCTCTTTTATTGAGTGTTTCTTCACCTCTAAGACTCTTTGTCATCTGTTTTATCCTTGCTTTGGATACTACTACCTTTAATTATCACTGGCTGGACCTTTTTCTGTTATAAAGTTGACAAAGACCTCGGATACGGAAGATATCAACCTAGATTGAGGATGATGAAGAATAACTAGAACCAAGAAGGCTGTAGACAGATGTAGCAGTATGTTTCCAGTAGCAAGGTCTGCTAGTTGAATACCAGCTTCTCTAGAGGACCGTATCTGTTTGCTTTTATTTTATAAATAAAAAAACATTAATAGTAATGAAATGCAAATGATATTCACGAGTGTGACGTAGCCTACACGTAATGATTCATCATGGCGGCTCCCTTTGAACTAGAGCGGAAGAACCCATTCAGAACCTTCCAGAGTACCTAGAGACTCAAAAATTGGTACAGATTTTCGGAAGAACCCGTTTTGCAAGTATACTAAATTTCAGGTTGCTAGCATTAGTGATTAAAAAGTTATAAGGGGTGGTACTTGGGCAACTCAACTTGAACTGACTATAACATCCCTGCAGCACAATAATTAAAATAATTATTTATCATTTTAATATGCTTCATTATTATGTGCATTATCTAAATTTATAGTATTTGTTGTTTTTTTGTCTTGTTGTTATGATTGTTTTTGTTGTTGTTGTTGTTTTTAGGATGAGATTCCATCAATCATTGATTGTCCTGATCCTGATAATATGAATAACGAGGAGAGACGATTTGCCAGATTATCTCAGGAGCAGTTAAACTTTGAGCCAGAGCATTACTTGTGAGTAAAGTTATCATTAAATTTAATATTTATTATTATTATTATTATTATTATTATTATTACTATTATTATTAATTATTATAGCCTTAATAGTAGCCTGTGTAGCAATAGAAGCATGAGCTTTTAGAAAAAAGGTAGAGCCTAGTTTAACCAATGGGCATACACCTCTTTTTAATGGACAGCACCTATATCATACCAAACAGCAGGTCAAAATTCCTTTTGTGATAGCGTTATACATTGCTGTGTATCTATTAATGTTTTTTTACGAAGCAAGTACCTCAGTTATATTTAATTTTCAACAAGATTTATGCAGCGCAAATGTTTTTCGCATTATTGAAATGTTAAAGTTTATTGAAATTGATATTTATAATAATGATCATTAAGCCAAGATAATTAATTAATCAAAAATGTAATATTACAGTTAAGCAAAAATAAACTGTGCATGTCCTATAGTGTTGCATGAGTCCTAAAGTTCTTGGCTTTTAGCTGATGAGCTCCTTACTGCAAATCACAGTAGTGATACAGATAAGTATCAGCATTCCTGACAGCATCATCTGGATTACTCTTGGCTAAATTCTTGCAATTAGTACGACCATAAGTAACATCATCAATGTAGGCAAAAGCGTGGGCCCATTCGTGAATCAGTGTACCTTCCTTGCTCTCGCCAGTCTTGCTGCAATCAGTTGGGTCTCCATAATAAACATCACAGAGGTACACGGTAGTAGATCCCTTGTATGTATAGGCATAATAGTTAGGCTTACATAACGGGCCATTATTATGGTATGTGCACGTTTTGCTTCCTATACCATCTCTCATTTTCTGGTACACCTCCTTAACTTTGGTAGCCCTGCCAGATGTGTATGTACCAAACCATGTAACATATACTTTATTGTTACCAACTCCGCCTTTAGCTTTATCAATTCCAGAGCAGAGCTTCTTATGGGCATCCAGTGTAGCAGAGTTGTTTCTATCACCAACAAAACTAGCACTGCCACAGGCTTCAAGGTGGACAATGTAATTGGCTTTTGTTTCCTCTTTCTTTGGCCTTGAGAGAAGAGAAGTGTCTTCCAAATGAATGTGAACGGATTCACGTACAATCGATTCCCTAAGCTTACCAGTAGACATTTCACTCATCTCATTCACTGACAGATACTGTAAAGGTCTACTGTATTGTACAGTGTAGAGACCATCAGTATCAATGCTAAAGGCATCAGTGATTTGGACCAAAGCAGAAATACTCTCACCTGCCTTCAAGAGAACAAACTCATCCTTTGTAGGAGGGAGACGATGAATGATGATTCCTTCATATTCCAGTGGACGACCCGTCAGAGAGACAGAGACAAATTGAGAGTTGAG